AATATAATAAATACTTATTTAAAAACAAAAATTATATATATATATATACATAAAAAGTCTTTTCATTGACTTTGTTCACTTTGCCAGTAAAGAAATGTGTTGCGTATAAGTCATGATGGCTTTTTTGGCCTCTTTTAAAAACTTCAACGCGGCATCTTCAAGTTCAAATCCTAACAATTAAGTCCAAATTTCTAAATTGGCCGTACCACAAGAGGATTTAGAAATAAATCTTTTTAGGAAGAAAACATGAGTAAAATATGATGAAGATGAAGACTTTGAGTAAAATGGGCTTAGTTTGAGTGCTTTAGTGGAGTGGTTGGGAAACTTTTTTATTTCGTTTTTCTCAACACCCTTTTGAAAATCATAAAATGGGTCTAGTTTGGTGTACTCTATGGGTAACTTAAAATTATAAATAAACAATATTTAGTTTTGATAGGCCATAAATAAATACATAATAAAACAACTTAAATTTAATTATTAAAGCAACAAGAAAGAATCCAAGAAAATGACAGGTGACTTCTTATCAAATATGAGATTCTTATAATTATTATAATATTATATAATAATGTAAGTTTATAATATAATGTATTATTATAAAATTAATTTTTTTATTAAAAAATTATTTACTTATTATTTATATGATTTATTTATTTAATATTATATAAAATTTATAATTTATAATTTTATATGATATTATAATTATAATATTATTTAAAATCATGGATCAAAATATAAAGAATAGTAAAACATTAACATTTTTTTTTCTCTGGGGTCGTTTGTGGTTCTTTATATATCCTTTCAAGTTAGATATAATATTCTCATGATTTTACATAAATTAGTTATGAAATATTTGTAAAAAAAATCCAACGGAGTGATACAAATCTTAAGTGCAAACGTTTTAAATGTAGTCCTTTTAGTCGATAAGGCCTACATATTTTTATTCATTCACTATTTTTTTTTTAATAATATTCATTCACTAGTTTGATGTAATGTAATTGTTATGAGGTAGAATTGTGTATATTTAATAGAGTAAGATTATTATTTTTTTTTGATATATAAGTATGAAAAATGAATTAGGAACGAAGCTAGTAGGTAGTTCAAGTGATAAGTAAGTCTTTCCTAATATAAGGGTGTGAATTTGAGTTGACTGATTACCATCTTTAGATAAAATTCATGATTTATTTAATATAGTATTATGAATTTGGTTACAATATTTAAAGTTTATCATTTAAGAAGAATGATGGGAGTTATTTAATATAATATTATGAATTTGGTACAATATTTAAAGGAGAATGATGGGAGTTTTTAGTTGTGTTGAAATTGTTATAGGGTGTTGGGATTTTGATTTTTTAAGTATTATATGCTATCATAAAAATTATGATATTATTTAATCATTTTAAAAAAAAAATAAAATTATTAAATTATATAAAATATTAATTAAAATTAATTTAATTATAATAAATTATTATTTTTATAAAATATTATATAAAAAATATTATAAGACCGCAATCCAACACGCAATCTTTCGCTTCATTGCTTAAAAATGAAAAATATAAATTTACTATTAGTTAATCGTTTATCCTTTTTTTTTTTGTTATGATTTTAAAATACTTTAAATTTTTGTAAATATTAAAGTTATTGAAGATGTTGACATCAAGCAAGGTAAGAGTTTTAATTTAGATTCAGTTCAAAACAAGCAGGGAGAGATTTTTCTACTTAGGTTTAGTTTTAAAAAGTTGCTGCCCTGTATGCGTAATTATTAAAAGTATTGCATTATATTATCATAAAAAATATTTTAATATTTACACCTGATCTTTCAAATCAAGTAATACCTATCACCTGCATTCCTCCTCTTCTTATGAATTCAAACCTGTTTTTTGACACATTGTTAAAAAAAAATTTAATATTTGATAATTATATTTTAAAAAATTACGGTGTCAAACTAAGTCTTAGTCTCAATGTCTTATCAACATTTATTTCTGGTATATCCTTATTTTGTGCCAAGTTGAATGTCCCTATTTTGTTTTCATAAGCAATGTTATACGAATAATTTTTTATATTATTTTTTGATATAATTTTTATAAATTATTAAATAAATATATTTATTTAATATTATAATTTTACATAAATAAAAATAATTAATTATTTAAATAATATTTTAAATTATATAAAAAATGATATAAAAAATTATCTTAAAATTATTTTTTTTGCATTATTGCATTAAAAAAAATTCTAGCATTAGCGTCCTGATATTTGATCTCCAAAATCTAAAAATTAAAATTTTAAGAAACCCCACAAAGGGGAAAATATCTACTAAGGATTATATAATTGGTAACCTAATATTGACGTGTCCTTTTCAGTCACCAACCACACAATTAAGCCACTCCCTTCTCTTTCCTTTCTGTTTGTTCTTGCTTCTAGAATCTTGATCCATCCCAAATAACTTCAAATGACCGTAATTATTAATTATATTTGTTTAATAATGTCACCTTATTCTTCCCAAATTACCAAAACAACCCTATATGAAATTCCAATCTGGCCGAAAGCGATGGTAATCCTAGTGGAATCACTCCCAACAGTTTTCCTCCCTAGAAACTAGAAAAGCGTGAATTTCGCCACTGCGCGAATGGGAGGGAGAGGAAACTGAGTACTATTATTTCCCAGTTCTTTTCTTGTTCTGTGCTGCACACAGTAACTATAAATACAGTTTCCTTCTGGACTATTATAAAATCGCAACTGCTTTTCATTCTCCTGTGTCTCCTCTCTCTACCTCCCAAGTCTCACAGTGCGCGCTTCGCCGACCTCGACCTCAGCTCCAATGGAGGTTTCCGGCGGAAGAATGGAGCTCCGTTTAACGTTGCTTTTCTGTTTCTCTTTGTTTCAGGTAACAACTCCTCCGCCATTCATCTCATGGCTTCCTTCTTGTTCGTGAATTCTCTCCGCTTCGTTTTGGAACAGATGTGGTTCTCTATTCTCTACCTGATTCTAGAATTCCAGAAAATCTAAGGGAATAGAGAGAGATTTCTAGTG